AGGAGGTGGACGTTGAAATAAACACAAATTGCTGTTTTTCTCACTATTGGTAATATTTTTTTTTTAAAAAAAGGAAGTTGGAAGAGGATCAGAGCTCTGCCTCTCCTAAACTCTGGTCATTCCTTGGCCTTCCAGTTTCCACTCACCTGACTGGGGTTGCTGTGCTGGAATTTCATATAAATGTCTCATGGCATAATTTGATCTTCAGAGCGCTTTGTGTTGGTCTCTGAACACCCTTAGGAGAGCTTTTAGTACAAAAGATACATCTGGATACTGAATATTGTGGTCTGTACCAAACAGGCCTTTATTCCATTGAAGTGCTTCAGTGCTAAAATATATTTTCTGAGAAATACCTCTAAGATTGTATGAATAGAGGAGATATGAAATGGATTTTTTTTTTCCTTTTGCATTTCATCTTTCGCTTCATTAGAGGCCTGGTTGGAGAAATCCCTCTTCCCTGTGGGCAGCTGTAGTCCTGCCTGTGCTTTTTGTGTCTAATTAGTCATTTCTATTCAGTAGCCTTTGTAAAATATTTCTATAAATTTCTGGCAGCACACGTAACCATGTACTGTGTTGAAAAAGCTTCAAAAAAATGTTTCTTTTTGTGTGAAGCGGCAAATGTTGTGATGGAAAACAGCATGCTTTTTCTGTGGGACGTGGTATAATTTGGTCTGCCCGCTCTCTTCTGCTTGTTCAGACAAATGCAGTCCCAATCACATAAAGCATACCTGCTTTTTTAGCTGGTAGACTTTTTTTGGTTTTTTTTTTTTTTTTGCAAACTTGATTTTAATTTCGATAAATGTTGTGTTAATGCCTCTTACAAAATCAAACTCGGTGCAGAATAGACCAGAGGCCACTCAAACTGTAACCTGTTCCATAAAACCACGGTGGTTCATCACAGGAGCTGGACCATTTCGGCAGCCCGGACAGTGACAACGTTACTGGTGTAAATGTAGTGGTGTAAATACTGATGCTGTGGAACATTAGGGTGCTTTAGAAATGTCTTGACAACCTACAGGTGTCAATATTGAAAATAGTTCTGAGGGTCCTGAACACAGCCGGCTGTGGCTTTGCCGAGCTGTCTCTGGGCGCTGGGTGTGCTCTGCTCTCATGGTACGCCCGGAGGTGAGCCCGACACAAGCTGGATTTTTCCCTGCTGTGAACTTTTTCGGACTCATGGCTTATACTACCCTACTGCAGTATTTTTACTGATCTGCTTATTAGGAATTCTGGACTGCTGTGTCCTAATATAGCTATGTAATTAAAAAGAAAAAGAAGGAAAAAAAAGGGGGGAAAAAAAAAAAAAGACAGCATTAACTCTTTCAAGAGAATGTTTTTAAATTACGTTGTCTGTTCTTGTACTGAAAGGCAATGTTTCCTCTGGCGGAGGCTTTCGGAGGTCAGACCAAGTGAGAGATGTCTGCTGCTCCCTGCCTCTCCAAGAGAGCTGGGTACCCAACTGCTCTCTACGCCTTTAATGATCTCCCTTGTGGTGTGCCGAAGTATAATGGTTTTCCTTGAAAAAGAAACACAATAATGTGGTAGGTTTCCAAATATCCCGAGGACTGTACTTGCTAATGAGAGACTGCAGACTGATGGTGCCTTTTCCTTATTGCCAGCAATGACGGTCATCTTTTATAGGACTGCCTAGATTTTAGGTGTATGCCCTTTTTTAATTTGGAGGTTGCTTTTACTAATTTGTACTGCTTTATACGACCACCACAGCGATTAAAATATTTGTTTTCATTGAGGAAAATTGTTTCTTCAGATGAGCGCAATACAAAGTTTTGGAAATCTTTCTGAAAGTTTTCTGGGTAATATAATCAAATAACTTCCAAAACATGAGTAGCAGATAACGAGTTCTTTTTCAAGACACCCCCCCAATGTATTTTACTGCAAAATGAGTGCTTATAAATATGAACACACTTTTTAGTTTGGTAGTCTCACAGTTTTATCCTGGTAGCTACTGTGGTTAGCGTAATAGTTTAGTAATAAGCTTTTCATTTTACCAGAGAAAAGGGACGGGTGCTGAATCGTTGGACGCCCAGCTAAGCTCAGTGAGCAGCCTTTGAACCCGCGGGGGGTTACCCTTTGCGTCGGGAGGCCCATTCCGCTAAAGGCGCGCGTGGCGCAGGCTCGGTGCTGACGTGGTCCCCGCTCACGTACACGGTTTGACAAACGCTCGGTCTGCGGCTTCTGGAGCCTGCAAGAAATGTAACGTAACGGCTGCGCTGTCGTATGGTTATGGAATATTGGATTATGGTGATGTCGGGTCTGTTTAACGGGCGATACGTGTTAAGTGCACTTTACCACTTAATGAATTAGTGAGTACTTAAAAAGGAGGGGGGGGGATTAGATTCTTCCTTGGTCTCTCTGTTAGAATGTTCCAAGTAATTTAATTTATTATGTACAGTATAGGTACTTTTAACATTTTCTTTAAAACATACGGGCTAAGGAAAAGCTCATTTCTTGTGATATGTTCTCCCATCTGTTTGCATATAATTTGCAGTGATGATAATTTAAACACCAAAGGCTGATGTAGCAAAATTCCCTCCAAATTTGAACTGATAAATCTTGTTGAAAAAATGCTGCCATCTTTATCTTCTGTTGTAGGAGACATCTGTTAAGAATAATTGGAGAAATTCTGCGGAATGGGGAGGGCATTTTGTCGGTGCCTAACTGCTGATACATTAAACGGCTCTCTTAGTGAGTTGCATTTAGCGTCTTAATATAGCTAAAATGCTCTCTAGCAAATCTAGGCCAGATTTTAGGCCCATGGTGGCTCCTGTCTCCCTTCACGGCTTGCTCTCTTTAGAGGTAAACAGCCTGATGTAGCTGCAAGCTTCCTTTGCGCCGGCAGACTTTGGCACTAACTGAGCTGAACCTGAAACTTGGTGTTTTAAAAAGGCAGCTGATTTTTCCAGTAAGGAAAAAATTTGTCAGTGGTTGTGAGACTTTCAACGTAAGAAAGTTAATCAGTATTCAAGTTGAATCAGTGTCCTGCATGGGGTAAACCTGGCGGCCCTTGATGGCCTTTAAGAGAAATAATAGAAAACCTGGGGAAAAGAAGAGACCAGAAAACAGCAATCACTTTGTATGTGCCATCTTGTTTTTAAAGCCATGGACTCCCAAACCAGCTCATCTTTGGTTCTTCCTGCCAGCATCTTGGTGGAAGAAGCGTGTATGTTTTACATCCCTTAGCCTGCTAACCCTGTAAGTGTGACTTGAAAATGATCATCACTGCAAAACCAGAGAAGCTTGTGATACCGCCTGCGTGAGCTAGAGGTACCGTTCAAGTCTCAGAAGGGTGAAAGCAGCCTGGCATGAACGCAGGGCTGTCCTCCAGCAGCCCATGCACCGCCCCAGGTGAGCTGGGGGCGTCTGCAGGCGGGGCTGGGGGCAGTGGAGGGGTGTGCGGCTCCAGCCAGCGCCCCCGCGGCCCCTTGCCCTTGCTGGGGCTGGCACCTGGCGGTCACCCACGCCTCTGGCCGCTCCGGCTGGCGCGGGGATTGCTTTTGTGATGCTTTGTGATGGGTTTGCTGGCTGTTGTCTTGATGTCCGCGACCATCTGCTGGAGTTGTCTGCTCTTGAGGCTCCTCTTGTTGGATTGGTGCTTTCACATCTGCAACCTTGCTGTAAATCTGCACCGTCAGGTGCTCTGCTTTCTCTGTGTCTGGCCGGTCAGTTCTGAGTAAGACATGAGGTGGGGCTCCCTGTTGGATGGGCGTGTGGTTCTCTCGTGCTGAATGCAAAGCAGTGACGTACTGTGAGTGAGCGGTTTGGGTGTTTGTTACTTTGCAGCCAGGACAGTATGGCTGTGACAGTCTGTATGGATATAAAAAATACTGATTTTTGTAAGCAACAATAGGCTGGAACATACAGCAATTCTATAATCTGTCGTAATGTAAACGATCCTCGTTCTTAGGAATCCACTATAACATGGAGAAATCTAGGAGCTCGGTTTTAATACTGAGCTGCTGTATCAGTGCTTTTAAAATGCATATTCCAAGCACAGAGCTGGGTCATTTCAAATACTGCTGCGTATAAATATTGTATTTGCTTTTGAACTGTACTGCATAGTGGATCGTAAGACTCTACAACAGGATCTTCAGGGAGCTGATGTCCTCGTAAGGCACTACGAGTACCCGATGTACCAGTCCTGCCAGTACCTGTGGTGCTAATCGTTATCAAGAATGGGTATTGCACTTTTTAGTTCTCCCTCTTTAGTTGCCGCAATGCTATCATGGTTATTTTCTTTTGTACTGGTGAGGTCCTTCAAAAAAATAGTCTACAGGGAAACGCAATAAAAGCCTCACAAGGGGAGCATTGCGGCTGAAGCTGTATTTTTTCCAGGCTCAGGTGATCATTGGTGCCTGTGGATAACTTCAAGGGAAATAGCCTTTGATTCGGTACAGAAATCAAGGTGGTGTGAGGATCTTAAATCTCCACTAGATAAATTGTAAATTAATTCTCAATGGCAAATCTCACCTGCTCCTGGTGTTCCAGGTGGAGAACGTGCATTCCTGATGTCTTTAGTGTGTTCAAACAGCGTGTGTGTGGTCACTGAACATCCAAGGTAGGCTTGTGTCTGAACAGCTGAGGACACGTGCTGTATACCTGAGGAATCACTGTCTCATATTAATATCATTTTATTAAGGCAACTTTGGTTCCGCGCTGCCTGTAGGGAACTGAAGAGTCAGTCTGTGTTCAGGCTAATTTGTACCTGGGAGCGTGTTGTCGTTTCTCTTGGCGTACGTAGAAAGAGAGAAAATTGTTTCTGGTCACAGAGAGTCTGCCCAGAGTTTGGTTAATGCTTTTGAGTCTGAAGGGAAGTTTTGTGTCTGGATTAGAACTGGTACAAGATCACAGTATGGTGGAAGTGCCGACTTACGAATAAATGTATGGGTGAGTTTTGTAATGTGTATGTGAGCAAAGTGAGCTGTGAGTCGCTGACTGACACACTCGATGCTTAGTGTTTTTGTTTTCTTTCCTCTAGTTTCTTTGCTTGAAGAACATAAGGACCTTCCTTTCAGCATGTTGTGAAGTATTTGGGATGAAGAAAAGTGAACTTTTTGAAGCATTCGACTTGTTTGATGTGAGAGATTTTGGAAAGGTAAGGATCCTTTTAATTACATCCTGAGTAACCCCTGTGTTCTGCTGCTTGAGATAGACGGCTTCCTTGGCAGATGCGGTGCAGAAGTTGTGACTAAGGGATGAACGTTCATTAGGAAAAAAAAAAAACCAAAACAACAGAGGGGAGGAATTAAGAAAGCGGAATAATTAGATTTACATTGGAGGGGCTCATAAAGGGCAGAGAAAAAATCCCTGGTAGGAAAGTTCTGAAGGTGTGAAAAGCATCGATAAATTAAAAAACTGGGTTGGAAGATGCTGAGTTAAGTTAAATGAAGGTGTGAAGATGGCAAACTGTGGGCGAGGGCTGCCTGGGGAAATCGCGTTTGACATAAACAGCGTGGAATCCGAAACCCCGGGCCTGTGTGTGGCGAGGCCGCCTGGCGCAGCGCCCGTTTCTGTAGTCGCGAGTGCTTGAAGATCACCCCTGCATCTGCCCTCGTAAATTGTTTTTTGACAATTAGTTTTTAAATCTGTTGTTTTGGCAAACCTGCTGTGGAGCTCAGATGAAGCTACGATGGGTAACGTGACTGCTCTAACCTGCGCGCCTGACGTACCTTCTGTGAGCCCGTGATGGGTTATTCTGGACCTAAAAGTTTGTTTCCAGTCTGTTGTTCGCAGCCTCCTACGTAGCTGTTTGATCTGTCATTGCCAGCCGATGCTCGGTTCAACTTGGGTTTCTGCTTTTGAGTCACAGGGTATCGTTACCCTAATTTCACAGGAAAGGGTCTAAAAATCACCCGAAGTAGCACCAAAAATAGGTGTTTATTCAAATTTAGTATATTTCAAGCATTTTTCCTTTTTTAAGAGGTCACACTTTTACTAACACAATTTTATGCACTGCTCTTTTTATAAGTAGACATAGAGGTAAAGATGATGTGAGCGCAAGCATGAATCAGGGCTGCAGTGTGAGTGTCTGAAATGATTCAGTGATTACTGCTAACCAAAATAGCTGATTATTTTTCTGACTCTTTTGCCTAGTTTTAGGTGCTTTGAGTATAAAATTAGACAAACCTGTTAGTTCCATCTGGTCTTTAGTTATGCTGAACATCTTTTGTCCTCATAAATCATACTCGCGACAAAGCTTTTGTTAAAATGTGGTCTTTTTACAAATTTGGTGTATTTCTTATTAAAAATGAGATTTTTTTGTTTTGATTGTGCAAGTAGCAGAGGAATTAAAATTGGGGGTTTTTTTTGTGCGCTAGTAATGTCTTATTTAAGGTATTTAATAAGTCAAGTATCTTAATGCTAGCTTCAGATCTTTGATACCTGTGCTTAACGTACAGGAGATTTTTTACTATCATATGTTCTATTTAATTGCTGAGTTTCACAGTTCCTGCCACACAAACGTAACCAGCCTGGTTTTTTTAATACAGTCTAGTTTTGAAGAAGTATTTTGCAGTGCAAATTATTACTGCTGCATCGTTGAATATCCAGTAAACAGGTTCTGAATTAAGGCTGAATTTAACCCAACAAATACATTTCTGGCATTCTTTAATTGCCATTTTAACAGAATGGAATTTAGAATATAATTTTATGTAAGTAGAACAGTTGGATAAAAAAATACCGTCTTCCGTCCATAAAATGGTAGTATTTTATTTCTCTTCCCAAAGTAGAATTGGATGCGGAGACATGAGTTTTGTACTGGGTTTGTTGCCACAGTATAGCGCAAACAGACCGATTATCCCTGGCTCTGGAATTTTGGCAATGGTGCAAGTGCTTACAAGCAATGGTTTCTCCAGTCTCGGCCTCTTCAGTGGCCTTTATCACCTTTCTTGGAAAGCTACAGGTACAAATGCGGCGACACATTTGAAAGACGCTGGCGTGTGGGATTCCTTAGTGCCTTGCGGCAGCGGTGCTGGGCGCCCTTGCGGGTGCGTAATGGCTCTGCCGCTCGGCTCTCCCCCTTGCCTGCCTGGGTGGAAGCTCGCCACGCGCGACTGGAGGCTGCGATAGGATGCGTGTAGGGTGGGATCTGTGTGCTCTACTGGCCCCTGCAAACGGGCAGGTAGTCAGCTTCCAAAAGCAGTTGGTGAACGTGAGGCCACTAAGAAAGTGCAGGGGAAAAGTAGAACTGTGCTAAAATGTATAGCAGCCTTATGCTGAGTTATTTCCATGGTTTTAAGTGTCACGTTTGTACAGCTCTAAAGTGGCGTGGGATTTCAGATGCATCTCTGATAATGTACCTATTAATTTGGGATATTTTGATTGCTAGTAGCAGCGGTGAGAATAAGAAAGCTTATCTTTTTCAAGTTGTTCTTTGCTTCTCAACTTCCCCCTTCATTATTTTTTTCCTATGATTAATACCACCAATATAGCTCTAAATCTCCCGCCTTCAAGTTGTCTATGTATGCAGAAGGCCAAAGAGACAGTGCCGCACACTCCTCCTGCTACCGCAACCGAGTCATCCTGCTGTCTCTAAAAGAATTCTTTGAGCTCTTCTCCCTAAGTGCGTACAAAATACGAAAGCTCTTAAAATTATTACGACCAGAAAAAAGATAATATGGTTTAGAAACGATCTGTTTTCTAGACTGTTGACTAAAGAGGCGATGGAATGAGTGTGTGCAATACCTACAGCCTTTAATGCATTTGAACGTGCTGGAAGCCATCTCGAGATGTCACAAGTTGGCAAGTACTTGTTAGAGATGTAAATAAACTGTAGCTGAGGTGACTCCATAAGCCTTATTTATATATCCAGTACTTTTAAATGCATCAGTTGAATTCATAGAAAAATTGTTATTGAATTTGTTGTCTTACGATGGAATATTCTGAATATGACCGCTTTCAATGACTATTTAAGCATGCCAGTGGAGGAACAGGAGAAATGTGTCAACTGTAAATGAACATGTCTTCAGGAAATAAGATTGAAGGGAAAAATCAGATGAGGGTCCTGGTGATGGAAACCTGCCATTTTTAAAAAGTATTCTGATGTTTTTCAACTTTTTAAAGAAAATGGCAGCAAACCCCTGTGCATGGTAGAAGCAGCAGCTGTGCACTGCCTGTATAGTCGTAAGACTCTTTAACAGCCTTGTGAAATACTGGTTACAAAATGTTTGCTGTAATAGTGAAACTTGCATTTAATAGCTAGGGGTCGATGAGCTGTTCTCAGACGCTTTGACATAACAGATGAAAATTTGACTTGAACTTTGTGTTCCATTTTGCAGAGTCTTTGACCTCTCTGTGATTAGAGGAAAAGAAGAGCGTATGTGGTGTGGATGGGATCAGAGGTGAAGCTGAAGTAGCAACAGGCAGATAGATAGAGAACAGGTAGAGGTACAGGGAAGCCGGTGACCCCATGAGCATGGTTTTAGTGCGTACATTCCCTGTGACTATTGACATCAGCTGCTACAGATGAGGGGTTTCTTCTCTTTCATGTATCATTGCACAGATTTTCTTATTTTTATAGTGACTGTGCTTGAAAAAAGAGGGGCTCCATTACTCAGAAATAAGAAGGTTCTTAAACCTTGCTCTCCTACATAAAACGCGTTTTTCCCCAAGTTCTGTGGCATTCCCCCATTCCCACTGGCTCACCTTTCTCTTACTACATTTTATTGTTGCTGCATTAAGTTCCTGACGGAGCATGAAATGCCCTCCCACGCCCGTGGGGTGCCAGACTGTTTTCATTACGAATTCCATGCTGGAGAGTCATTTTTCACTAGCGCCGGGTTGTCAGGTTCTTCCTTTCTACCTGTGTGCCAGAATCAGCTAATTATGTTGATACTTGTTCTCTCAGCTCTGCGAGCCCCGCACGCTGCTCGAGCAGCAGTCTTTGCTCTTTGGTATGCCGCAACAAATTGTTGCTCTGCCTATCCTCTGAGAGAAGTTTGCACCTCGTGCGTTGCAGAAATGGGAATCCGCGGATTAGTTCCAGCACCCGTAGGTATCGGTAGACACTCCCTGGCCTCAGAGAGCTGTGTTTGAGGTCCTGTGGGGGGAAATGGTTTCCATGTATTGTCAGAAAAAGAACTTTGTGTACCCTGCTTTTAAATGTTCTAAGTAACGTACAACTGAGCACAGACTGTTTTTTATGATACAACTGATCTAATATGGTAGCTATAGTGTGTCCCCCCCACCCTGTAGGGGTCCTGCAATAGATGTCTAGAAATAACATGCAGTATTAAATGATGATTTAAAAAAAACCCAAACAAGGGGATCAAAGATCAACTGCTACCCATCAAACAAGTGCCTCATTGTTTAAGGGCATATAACATAACGTCTAGCGTAGCTAACTCTCCAGTGGCACTTAAAAGGCTGGTTTATGTGAAAGCAAGCAACTGCTGTGAAAATACTGAGTGCGCGTACCAAGGTCACGTAGTTTGTGATCATTTAGTCATTCCCCTAGCGCAAAGGAAGTCCAGGCTATGATGCAGCAGAAAGTCGTGCTGAAGTTGAGGATCCTGGTGTATTAGTATTCCCTCAGGTTTAGCAGGAAGATCATGCAGATGTGCGTGAGATACACACACCAAAATCAACACAACGAAGAGCAACGGTTATTATAAGAAGATAGAGACTGTTCAGGAGGAGAGAGGAGGAGAAACGTTTAGGAAATCTTCAATAAAACTGAAGCATTTGAGATTAACCTCAGTTGTTTCATGTTTTATATGGTGAATTTAATGAGTGAGGTAATAGAGCAAAATATGAGCACTTTCACTAATAGTCATGTTAACGCTGCAGAACACTGGGGAACGTGCCAAGATATTATTGCACATTTTGGTAGACACTCAAATGGAGAAAGAGAAATGAACTGGTAAAAACAAGACAGTCATTACAAGCAGAGCTCTGTATCTTCATTGCCTGAGCTCTTTTAGTAGTAGAATTATAAAGAAAAAAAAAAAAAAAAAAGCTGAGTGGTTTGCTTGAGAAGTAGCTGTGCAGTTGCTTTTAGGGGTAGCATTTTAATGTTTTGAATGTTTCAGTGAGGTGGGACTGGTTTGGGATGAACAGCGCTTGAACTCCTTCAAGGTGTGCTTGTGAATGTGGGAG